CAATCCTTCGTAGATTTTTTAATCTTAGAAATTCTCTGAATTTAGAGTCCTCTAAAATAAGCCTTGAGCGAGTCCCATACCACTCCCTGAGGAGCTAAGGCTCTATTGTACTCTAAGAACTCCCTCAGACTGTCTACTATAACTTCTTTTGGTGTAATCAGATTTAACCAAAGGGGATCTACATTTCATTCCCTTGGCTGTCGGGTCCCTCCAATTCCTATAAACATAACCAGTGGGGAGTGATCTGACAACACTCTAGCTGTATACCTAATATCTGTTACCATTGGCAAGAGACTTTCATTACCTAGCGCTAGATCTATGCTTGAACATTTAGAGTGAGAACCAGAATAGCAAGAAGAAAAAGAAAAAAAAAAAAAAGTGATCTGCTGGGTGATGTACTCTCCAAAATATCCCTCAATCGCGCCTCAGTAACTACTTTATATAATAGGGTAAACAAACTCTGCAACATACTCCTCCCAGGACAATCTAGCCAGCTGAGAGTCCATAACCATATTGAAATCTCCTACCACCATATTGAAATCATCTCCTACCACCCTTGGTTTATTAGCTATAAACTCTGATAAGTGCTCTATCACCTCCATCTTAAAAGGAGGAGGGACATATACATTTGTAAGTATACAGAGAACTCCTGCTAATGAGCAAAACAAATATATACCTCTCTCCACAGTCAGTCAATCATTTGTCTACAGGAAACAGGCAACAATCTATGTATTCATATACCCAAAGAACCCCCAGAGGGACTTTAATGCAGCAATAAGATCATACATATATTGAAAGACATTTTGTTAACAAAGATTTTTATCAACTTTATAACATACACATTTCCATTGTAATATTAAATACATGGTTTATAAAAAGAATATTGCTCTGACAGTGTCCTTACAAGAGAACTCTTCTACAAAAAGTTGCTAAAAATCTTTAACAAAATTTCTCTTTCAATATATGTATGATCCTATTGCTGCATTAAAGTCCAACTGGGGGTTCTTTGGGTATATGTATTCATATAGGGACAAGCAGCCAGATACTCAACCTTTTTGGTTACAATCTATGTATTAATATACTCACTCCTCTTGAATAAGAAGTATATACTAAGTGATATTGAGAGGAAAACCTTCTATGCTTCAAACACAATACTGTGTCTTTAGTAAGTGTTTCCTGCAGACAAAGAACTGCCGCCTTGAGCCTAGACACCATCGTGAACATAGCTGCTTTTTTTTAATCGAATTTCCCAGGCCCCTTATATTCCATGAACATAGAGTAATCATCTTAACCATCTTTGAACAAAGAAAGAAAATAATTAAATAAAATAAACATTACCATAATCCAACTTATACACTCCTCTGTGTCTAAGATAAAAACAACTCCAATATCCCCAAAAAATTCTTCCATGTTTTTTGTTGTGTTACCATTTCTTGTATACATCTTGTGTCATACCAAGCTTTCTTTTTCCCCTCAGAAAATACTGAGTCTATAGTTAATCCCACCCCTCCTCCCATCCCTTCAAGAAAAAAAAAAAAAAAAGCGCAAAACAAAAACCCACCTGGATGCTGAATCAAATAGCGTGTCAGTGCAAAAAAACACTTCTGACTCTCCAACAGTTACCTTTTTAACATATAGTTCTATTCTTTTGCGAAAAAAAAAAAAAAAAAAAAAGAAGAAGGTCTAATCAATTAAAGACTACACAGCTCAATTGGGTTGAGGTCAGGTGACTGACTCAGCCATTACAGAATATTCCACTTCTTTTCCTTCAAAAGCTCCAGGGTTGCTTTTGCAGTGTGTTTTGGATCATTGTCCATCTGTACTGTGAAACGCCATCCAATCAATTTTGCTGCATTTGGCTGAATCTGGGCTGACAGTATATCTCTAAACACTGCAGAATTCATCCAGCTGATTCTGCCTTCTGTCACATCATCAATAAACACCAATGACCCAGTGCCACTGGAAGCCATGCATGCCCATGCCATCACACTGCCTCCACCATGTTTTACAGATGACGTTGTGTGCTTTGGATCATCAGCTGTTCCAAGCCTTCTGTACACTTTTTTTCTTCCCGCATTCTGGTACAGATTAATCTTAGTTTCATCCGTCCAAAGAATGCTTTTCCAGAACTGGTCTAGCTTTTTAGATGCTCTTTGCAAAGTCTAATCTGGCTTTTCTATTCTTCAGGCTTATGAATGGTTTGCACCTTGTGGTGAACCCTCTGTATTTGCTATCGTGAAGTCTTCTCTTGATTGTGGACTTTGCCAATGATACGCCCAACTCCTGGAGAGTGTCCTTCACTTGTCAGGATGTTGTCAATGGGTTTTTCTTTACCATAGAGAGGATCCTGCAATCATCCACCACTGTGGTCTTCTGTGGATGTCCATGCCTTTTTATGTTGCTGAGCTCACCAGTGCGTTATTCTTTCCTCAGAATGTACCAAACTGTATATTTAGCCACGCATAATGTTGCTGCTATCTCTCTGATGGATTAATTTAATTTTTTTAAGCCTTACAATGGCCTGTTTCACTTGCATAGACAGCTCCTTTGAACGCTTGATGTAGATTCACAGCAATAGATTCCAAATGCAAATACCACACTTAGAATCCACTCCAGTCCTTTTACCTGCTTAATTGATGAAGACATAATGAAGAACTAGCCCACACCTGGCCATGAAAAAGCTTTTGATTCAATTGTCCAATTACTTTTGGTCCCTTGAAAAAGGGGGGCGTGGCTATTCTTAAGAGCTGTAATTCCTAAACCCTTCCTCCAATTTGATTATACATACCCTCAAACTAAACCTGAGAGTGTACACTTTCAGGCCATATCCATTATATAACTATAGCGTGAATATGTTTTGGTAAATACCTGAATAAAAACTAAAATTGTGCCTGTATGTTATGGCTTCATCTCTATGGCCTTTTGCAGTATAATTTCTCTGTACAAAAAAAAAAAAAAAAAGGAAGCTTCATAAGCACTAGCCTGGGGTTATCCCTCCATCTTGGTGATGGAGATAGATCTCAAAAGGGACTCTACGGGCCCTATCTACAGCAAAAAAAATAAATAAAGGGAGAGCACATCTTTTCCAAAGACCTCCTGGAGCCACTCTTTTCCAAAATTTCTCTCATATTATTCCCTTCAGTGCATTCCGGGAGGCCTATGAAGTGAACATTATTTCCAATCAATTTCATTATTTTTCCGCAATCAAAATTCTATATTTATGACTTTCCATGTCAACTTTCCCCTTTAAAAGTTCTATCTCTTGTTTTATAGGAGTTATAGCATCCTCCGCTCCACTGATTCTGTCTTCTAACTCTGTAGTACGGTCTCTCACTTTTTGCAAATCATGCCTGAAAAATGACATTTCCTCTTTAATTTACTTTAGTTGATCAGTCATTTCAGACAAAGAAAACTTGCAGCCATTCACCGCAGTCAGTACCTCTCAGAGATGGTTCCTCCACTAGCGACACCTCCAAATAGAATTAGATAAAAAATGTGGTCCTACCACAGTTGGAGTACTAGGTGCCGAAGCCATCCCAGTGGCTCCACTATGGTGGCTCGGTACTTTGGAGGCCATAGATAGCGATGAGGCTAATCTAGGCTGTTGTTGTGACTTTCCAGCACCCTGAGAAGGATTATGCGCAAACCGCTGCAGTTTTTCCATGTCTGTCTCATGATGATTCTTTACTGTGCACTGCGTCTACAAAACAGCTCCATCTTGTACCACTGGTGTCTCCCCTTCTTTGTCGTTTTCTTTTAATTATAATTAGCAGCTCAAGATTTCTTAACAACTGCTTCCCTTTGTGTGTACAGTTTGCCTGAGTTACCAGACGCAGCTATCCTGCATCTCACCTCAGCTTCTGCCATTTAAAGGTTTGACAGTTCAGCTGACAGCCGGGAAGCCGAGAAGAGCTGACTCAGAGCTGACGGTCAGAGCCGAGCGATATACAGGGGAGTCGAAGATTACAGAGGAGAGCTGACCAGGGCTGGAAGAAGCCGACACCACGTCTCCTGCCCACATCACTCCAGGACCCACTCCTTTGCTCTGCCAAACACCGGCTCTACCCCTCCAGAGCTCAGTGCCCTCCACCACACACCACAGACACACCATGGACCCCAGCAAAGAAAAGAATGGCCCAAGCCACAGAACCCCCCCGAAGGGATCAGGATGAAGGAGCTTATGTGAGCTATACACACCCACTCACATCTGAGTCCTGCCATGCCCCAGCTTCAATTTGTTAGTATATTTAAATCTGCTGGTACAGCTAACACTGCCCTCCTCCCAGATTGGCAATGCTGCTGTCCAAATGTGTCCCCTGTGCTCATTCACCCAAAGGGAAGGCACTCTAATACAGGAAGTGTGTTACTGGTCAGATCACCAGTGGAAAAAAAACCTGAAAAAACAAGGCTACCACAACTAAATTGGTAAGCTGCAATATATAACAGTTTTGGTTTTGGGTTTAATACCACTTTAAAGTGATCCTGTACTCCCATTTTTAAAAACTTAAAAGCAAATGTTCTGCCCAAGAGCAAAGGCCACAAGATGCATGATAAGAAGCCTTCCAGGCTAATAAACAAATTAGAGAGTGGGTACATAACAATATGCTTTAGAACAGGTATTCCCACTCTCTAATTTAGTTTCACTTTGTTACTGGATTTAAACCTTTCCTGATTTCATGACATAGCCCTGCCATCTCCGTTGTCAATTCTAGTGTCAAAAGAGACCACTTTCATTTGCAGAAAGGACACTCTCATTGGACAGATGGCACTTTTCTGGTTAATAAAGAAGCAGACAGCTTGTGGCGTCTTTTCATAGGCAGGACATTTACTTTAAAATGGAGTACAGGGTCACATTTAATTGACTGCAAAAAGCTTCAGTTCATTTATATAAAAAAAAAAACACAACAAACAACAACAACACACAACAATACTTTTATAAAAAACCACATCAAATCAAGTCAGTGATCACAATATCACAATTAGTGGGAGGAATCCAACTTCTAGTTACTAGAGCCTTGTACCTGATAGGATGCTAGTGAATGTGACAGTAAGTTGCAGCGGCTGGCTCCAAGAAGATCTACTTTCTGGCAAACATCCATCTTTGTTTTGTCAAACTGGCTCTTGGAGCTCCTGACCTGTATCTGCACCTGGAAATATACCAGCAGTGTTTTCAGAGCAATGATTTGATAAGAAGTACTGTTTTATATGAGCATCTGCGGTACCGGTTTTTAATATTCTTATTCAGCATTTATCATTATTTGGTACTAGAGGAAAAGCATCATCTGAATGGATTAAAAACTTTTAAAAAAAATGGAAACGTCAGACAGTCACATCTCCAAAACCTGGAAACTGCTTTGGTCATGAAGAGTGGTAAATCTGCTGGAAAATACATTTGTTTTTAAAATGTTAATTTTATGGCCTTTTGTTGAAATTGGCTTTCACTTTAGGGCTTAGGGCACTTAGGGCTAATAAACCATCTTATCCAAAACCTAACCTTCAGTCACTAAAATTCCATGAAATGAGGAGGGGCTTAAAGTGGAACTCCAGGGAAATCTTATTTAGTTATTCATTTATTTATTGTGTAGAGAAGTGCATGTACCTGTGTCAGGTCTTGACAGTTCTCTGTGCCTATGTTGGATAGATTTCCCATCACTTCCTTTCACATGGGATCAGTTACCAATAAAAAAAAAACTACTATAGCTATGGGAAATTGTCCCACAGACAGCAATAAATTATAGGAGGTTCTAATGCTTTTTAATTCCACTAACAATAAAGTGCTTTTAATACTGTTTGTGTTACAGAAAGATTTCCTGCACTTCCTGTCATTGTGGTACGAATATGAAATCAGTGATGTATCACAATTAAATTTACCTTCACTGGCATTTTTTCCCCCCAAATCCCGAAAGCAACGATTTGGTAGAGGCAGCGGTATCCATATTACATGAATCGTAAACCAAAATTACTATATAGGAAATTGATCCCTGGGATGGAGGGCGAGGTTATGAAAATCTTTCATTTATGTTCCCATATTATATCGGATGTATCACTCCTTAGGTCTCCTATTAACCCCGTATGGTTTAAAACCTCCTTGGGGGAATTTTACAACTGGAAAGTGGGGCAACTTGGGCTCAATATGGAATTACATATACCCATTAGTTATTCTTAGGCAGGGGCTTCTGTACATTTGAGCATTTTTGCAGGGAAAATGAGATTCCGAGGACATAGCATTTTAAATACTTCCAACTATGTCGTGCTGCGGCATCTCAGTTTGGGGAAGGCGAAGTTCACCTGGAAAATACTAAACTGGAAGCCCTTTTGCTAGATCCAGATCATATTAAATTGGACTCCAGATACTATACGGCAGTGGCTCCTTGTACTTCCCATCTAGTTGAGAGAGCCAGGGACTGTTGCTCTGCCCTTGTGCCAGAGTTGTCAGAGGAGCAATGGGGTGAGGTGCTTCACACCTGTCTATCACAGTTTATAGCCTCTACAGACAGTATGATACAGCTACGTTATCTACATCAGACGTATTATACCCCGCACGTTTATTTTGCATGCATAGGCATTATGTCATAAAATGTACGTTGTTCAAAAGGCACCTTGTTCCATATGGTTCGGGAATGCCCAAAAAGGTGAGGCTTTTGTGGTCTCAAGTGACGGAGTTTATAGCGGATAATTGTGACCTCCCTAATATATGTGACCCCCTTTTAGGCCTCCTGGGAGTTATTGAAGATGAGGAGATGAGCAGTAAAACAAATTTTTTTTCTCCTGTGTCCGTAAGCTTATTGCTAGGAGGTGGATTTATGATGAGTCTTTCACTTTGATAATGTGGAAGCGGTTGGTCAACGCTGACCTTCCACTCTATAGGATGAGATATGAAGCTTGTGGTTGTCCAAAAAATTTTACAAAGGTTTGGTCTCACTGGGAAGACTCTTTAGCAACTGTCTGAGGCATCTAGGTGAGAGATGGCGGGAGAGAATGGGTTCCTTTATAGATCACCAGTTAGATGCTAGCACACACTCTAAAGACTTTGGTAAAGTCACTATGCAACTTTAGCGTTTTCCTTTGTTAATGTAAACTCTTATTTTATTTGAGGGTTAACATTTCTGAAATGTTTGCTACACTAGAATACACATAAGTCATGGGCTCCTCTTAGGGTGTTTAATGATAACTGATGTGATTATTGCCAAGAAAAAAAAATGTCTCTTGTAAACTTGCTTTTATGGCTTTGGCATTGTAACACAATAAGTATGGTACAGTGGGGATCGAAAGTTTGGGCACCCCAGCTAAAAATTTGTATTAAATGTGCATAAAGAAGCCAAGGAAAGATGGAAAAATCTCCAAAAAGCATCAAATTACAGATTAGACATTCTTATAATATGTCAACAAAAGTTAGATTTTATTTCTATCATTTACACTTTCAAAATAACAGAAAACAAAAAAATGGCGTCTGCAAAAGTTTGGGCACCCTGCAGAATTTATAGCATGCACTGCCCCCTTTGCAAAGTTGAGACCTGCCAGTGTCATGGATTGTTCTCAATCATCGTCTGGGAAGACCAGGTGATGTCAATCTCAAAGGTTTTAAATGCCCAGACTCATCTGACCTTGCCCCTAACAATCAGCACCATGGGTTCTTCTAAGCAGTTGTCTAGAAAACTGAAACTGAAAATAGTTGACGCTCACAAAGCTGGAGAAGGCTATAAGAAGATAGCAAAGCGTTTTCAGATGTCAATATCCTCTGTTCGGAATGTAATTAAGAAATGGCAGTCATCAGGAACAGTGGAAGTTAAAGCAACATCTGGAAGACCAAGAAAAATATCAGACAGAACAGCTCGCAGGATTGTGAGAAAAACAATTCAAAACCCACGTTTGACTGCACGATCCCTCCAGAAAGATCTGGCAGACACTGGAGTTGTGGTACACTATTCCACTATAAAGAGATAATTGTGCAAATATGGTCTTCATGAAAGAGTCATCAGAAGAAAACCTCTTCTACGTCCTCACCAAAAATCATCGTTTGAACTTTGCAAATGAACATATAGACAAGCCTGATGCATTTTGGAAACAAGTTCTGTGGACCGATGAGGTTAAAATTGAACTTTTTGGCCGGAATGAGCAAAGGTGTTTGGAGAAGAAGGGGCACAGAATTTAATGAAAAGAACCTCTGTCCAACTGTTAAGCATGGGGTTGGATCAATCATGCTTTGGGGTTGTGTTGCAGCCAGTGGCACAGGGAACATCTCACAAGTAGAAGGAAAAATGGATTCAATAAAATTTCAGCAAATTTTGGATGGTAACTTGATGCCATCTGTGAAAAAGCTGAAGTTAAAGAGAGGATGGCTTCTACAAATGGATAATGATCCTAAACACACCTTGAAATCCACGGGGGATTACATCAAGAGGCGTAAACTGAAGGTTTTGCCATGGCCTTCACAATCTCCTGACCTCAACATAATTGAAAATCTATGGATAGACCTTAAAAGAGCAGTGCGTGACAGACAGCCCAGAAATCTCAAGGAACTGGAAGACTTTTGTAAGGAAGAATGGGCAAAGATACCTCAAACAAGAATTGAAAGACTCTTGGCTGGCTACAAAAAGAGTTTACAAGCTGTGACACTTGCCAATGGGGGCAGTACAAGATATTAACTCTGCAGGGTGCCCAAACTTTTGCAGACACCATTTTTTTGTTTTGTTATTTTGAAAGTGTAAATGATGGAAATAAAATCTAACTTTTGTTGACATATTATAAGAATGTCTAATCTGTAATTTGATGCCTTTTTGAGATTTTTCCATCTTTCCTTGGCTTCTTTATGCACATTAATACAAATTTTTAGCTGGGGTGCCCAAACTTTCGATCCCCACTGTATGTTCTGGTTTACTGTCTGGCGATATTTTATTTTTAAAGAAAAAAAACTCTTCTCACAACTGACCTTCGGTTATGAAATCCCAAAATATTTCTGACAATCCCCTGAAGACGCATGCTTATATTTGTGAATGGTATGAAAAGTTCAGTTGTAATTTTTTTTCTTTTTTGATTCTGCTGACCTTTCTGAATTTCTCCATCTGCTTATAGGTGTCAGGATCCAGCTCCTGAGACACATCCTTCATCCATAGTAAGGCTCCTCTGTATTCTGTTCGTGCCTTCTCCATTTGGTTGACAGTTAGGAAAGTATCCGATACTGCCCGACCTGTAAAAGTGTCCATTTCCTGTTCAAGGCGATATAGTGGAGTACAGAGAGCCAACCTAGGAACAGGCAAGAGAATGAAACAGCTGTAAAACAGATGATTACCTTTGAAAATTAGAACTATGACGAGAGGTTGCTAGTCACCATGTTGCATCAGATCCCTATATAAATACATACAGATAAGCATAGGTTGTGGGATTTTAAAGGTGTGCAACAATAATTAGAAATGTTTCTTTAAAAAAAACATTTCACAGTTTATTAAGGTTACAACAGACTTGTCAATCACAGAACGCTTGACTGTTTACTGCGGCGTACAGATGATACTTCCCGACATGTTTCGCCCAGCCTGGGCTTCTTGAGGAGATTGATTGATCATCGGCTGTATGATCATGGATTTATTGTTTGGTAATGTCGCTATTGTTGTGTCTTACTAAGCAGTTATTTATTGATTAAGATCCTATAATATTTCCATCTAGTCTTTGTTGGCAATTTTATCCTGGTCTTTTTTTTCAGTAGTGCGGAATCCTTATTAACCAGGGAGACCTCTGATGCCCAGCTGTGGCTAATCTCCCCCCTTTTCTGTAAGTGATTATTGTTTGGGTTTTGTCTGATGTTTATATGCATATATATTCTTTTGTCATGTTAGAATTCGGTCCTGTGTGTACTTCTGCAATCACAGGAACACTTGAGTCCTTGACCTAACACATGTTTATTTCCATCTCAAAGAGTGATATTGGTATTATAGTACCAAAGGGTAAGCAAGGGGTTCATACATATCTGGACAATTAGTGTGCTGGAAGTATAAATCTATGCTCTGCAGTGTGATATATATTGTAAAATAATTTGCGTATTTTTTTGATTAATGTATTTTTTATATACAATTTTAGACTGTATTGAGGATAGCTTTTTTTCCTCCCCTGAAGAAGCCCAGGTTGGGCGAAATATGTCGGGAAGTATCATCTGTACACTGCAGTAAACAGTCAAGTGTTCTCTGATTGTCAAGTCTGTTATAACCATTTATATTAAATGTAGTTTTACTGACATTAATAAACTGTGAAAAAAAAATGTAAAAATATTTTTCTAATTATTGTTGCGTACCTTTAAAATCTCACAACTTATCCTTATCTAGAGGATTATCTTTGTTATACAACCACAATTCCAAAAAAGCTGGGACGCAGTGTAATATCTATATAAAAACAGAATGCAATGGATTTGCAAAATCTCATAAACCCATATTTTATTCACAATAGAAAACATATCAAATGTTTCAACTGAGAAAATGCACCATTTTAAGGAAACAAATTATCTCAATGGGGAAAACAGTCATGCTGAAGGATGTTACAGGCAGTATAAAGTTCTCCACAGCTTCTCCAGACCCTTTCACGTCTGTTACATGTGCTCGGGGTGAACCTGCTCTCATCTGTGAAAAGCACAGGGCACCAGAGGCTGACCTGCCAATTCTGGTATTCAATGGCAAATGCCAATCGAGCTCTATGGTGCTGGGCAGTGAGCACAGGGCCCACTAAGGGACATTGGGCCTTCAGGCCACCCTCATGAAGTCTGTCTCTGATTGTTTGGTCAGAGACATTCACACCATTCAATGACCTGCTGGAGGTAATTTTGTAAGGCTCTGGCAGCACTCAGCCTGTTCCTCCTTGCACAAAAGGAGCAGATACCGGTCCTGCTGAAGGGTTAAGGAACTTCTACTGTCTATCCAGCTTTCCTAGAGTAACTGCCTGTCTTCTGGAATCTCCTCCATGCTCTTGAGACTGTGCTGGGAGACACAGCAAACCTTCTGGCAGTGGAAGACCGTCTTGAGAGTCAGGGACCTTAGGGAGCTCGAATCCAGAGGTTCAAATGGGGAACCTGTCAGAACATTAAGTACCGTCGTCAGATTCCATTTGGGAAAGGTTCTATCCTCTGCCTGGTCAAAGGACCTAAGAATCTTGCTACCAGCACCTCCTTGGCTAAAGGAGACTCCATAAAAACACTCAGAGCCGATACTTGGCTCTTTAGTGTACTAACTGCTAGGCCTTTGTCAGCCCCTCCCTGCAAAAATTCCAGGACTCAAACAAAGCTATAAGTCTCCACGGAAGCTTGGGTACACCATTTATTAAAGCACTTCCAGACCTTCAGATAGATAGGATCTCTAGTTTTTCCTAAATATTTAGGAAAAAAGAGATCCGGGCTGAGAACCCCTTGCTCAACAAGAGCTGTTCCTCAGAAACCAGGCTGATAGGTTCCATCTGTCTACCCTGGGACACAGGACCGGGCCCTGAGATTGCAGGTCCCTCCGGAACGGCAATATCCAGGAAGGGCGTGTCGCTAGGGCCGCCAGCGTCGAAAACCATGCTCATCAGGGCCAATACGGGACTATTAGGATCAGGGAGGTCTGCTCAGATCTGAACTTCCACAGTACTGCCGGCAACAAAGGGACTGCGGGAAAAGCATAACAGGGGAAAATCCCACTGCCACCCCGTCCCACCGGTTTAGCAAGAAGAAACCCGGAACCTTGGTGTTTTGGCTCGGACGCAAACAGGTCTATGGATGGTGACCCCCACTCTCTTATGATGGCTTGGTAGATCTCCCCATTGAGCACCCATTCGGATTCCCTCAGCCGCCTTCTGCTCAGAAAATCTGCTACCCGGTACAAATCACCCTTCACGTGGATAAGGAGGCTAGATTTGTCTCCGCCAAGGAGAACAACCTTGCACTCAGGAACCATAAGGTTCTGCTTCGAGTCCCTCCTTGCCTGTTCACGTACGCCACAATGGAAGAATTGTCCGAGAGGATCTGCACATGCTGGCCCCGTATCAGTTCCTGGAAGGTCAAAAGGGCCCGCAATACTGCTGAATTCTTTCCAGTTTGAGGACTCTTTCCTTTCTTCCAGTGACCAAGAGCTCTGCGCCATGAACTCCCCCATGTGCACTCCGCAACCCTGGGCACTCGTGTCCGTTGTAATTACCCTGGAAATGGGGAAGACCCAAAGCAACCCCTGGGTCAGATTGGCTGATCTCCTACACCACCAGAGGGTTCTCTTCACCCGGGGGGGGTATCAGTATTAAGGAGTCTAAGGATGCCTGCCGACTATCCCAGATGCCAAAAATGAACAGCTGGAGGGGCCGCAGGTGTAACCCTGCCCATTGTACCACCAGAATGGACGAGTTTAGAAGGCCCAGAATTGACATGGCTTCCCTTACAGACACGATTTGGCTCCCTAGCAACCGCCTGATTCCCCCGTCTAACTTCAGGATCTTCTCTGGGGGCAGAAAGGTCCTTTGAAGGGTGGAATCCAGTTCGTAGCCCAGGTACACCATTCTCTGGGCTGGGACCAAACTGGACTTGGCCACGTTTATCAGCCACCCAAGATTTTCCAAGTGCCTCCTCACCAAGGCTATGTCCCGCGACAGCTGTTCCTCCGAACTCGCGAACAACAGGAGGTCCTCCAGGTAGATCACCGAAAAGGAGCTCCCCCTCGTTGCCTAGGACACAGCCGGAAGCCGCGTCCTGGGAGAAGTCCTGCCTCTTCCGGCATCCGGCCTGGCCCTGGCTCCAATGCCGGCACAATGTGGGACTGTGGGACTCCTCCCCCGGTCCCTCTAGACACAGAAAATGAAGGCACCCGGCCCCCCAGCCTTCCCCACGGTGGGGGCCAGGACGAAGCATGACAGGTAAGCGAACCTCCCACCTGTCTCCCTACCGAGGGGGTTCACCTGTCAAAGAAGGCCGTGGGGGGTAGCCACTAGGCCTGCACCTGGCACACACACACCTCCACTGCCATTCCCCTCTCCGACTTCCAGGCTCACCTGGTCTGATCTCCACAGCGTGTCTCCCCACCTTAGGAAACACCGAAAATGAGGTCGTGGGGGGAAGAGGCAGGCCTTTTGTTTTGGGTGGAGGTGTTTCCTCAGGTGGGGAGGAGCCAACGTCTCTCGAAGTGCTGTCCTGAAAGAGAGAGAAGGGAAAACAAAACTGCACATCACCAAAAGAACACCATACCCACAGTGAAGCATGGTGGTGACAGCATCATGCATTGAGGCTATTTTTCTTCATCTGGAACTGGAGCCTTAGTCAAGGTAGAGGGAATAATGAACAGTTCCAAATGCCAGTCAATATTGGCATAAAACCTTCAGGCTTCTCCTAGAAAGCTGAACATGAACAGGAACTTCATCTTTCAACATGACAATGACCCAAAGCATACATCCAAATCAACAAAGGAATGGCTTCACCAGAAGAAGATTATAGTTTTGGAATGGCCTAGCCAGAGCCCAGACCTGAATCCGATCGAAAATCTGTGGGGTTATCTGAAGAGGGCTGTGCACAGGAGATGCCGTCGCAATCTGACAGATTTGGAGTGTTTTTGCAAGGAAGAGTGGGCAAATATTGCCAAGTCAAGATATGCCATGCTGATAGACTCATACCCAAAAAGACTGAGTGCTGTAATAAAATCAAAAAGTGCTTCAACAAAGTATTAGTTTAAGGGTGTGCACACCTATGCGACCATATTATTTTAGTTTTTATTTTTACTTCTCTACACCTAAAAGATTTCAGTTTGTTATTCAACTGAGTTGTACAGTTTATAGGTTACATTAAACAGTGGAAAAAAGTTCTGAAATTATTTATTTTTGTCTCATTTTTTACGTCACAGAAACCTGACATTTTAACAGGGGTTTGTAGACTTTTTATATCCACTGTCTATCTAAAAAAAAAAAAAAATGTAATAAAAAAGGAAATTGAATTTTATTTTCCCAATACTGTCACCAGTCAGTGTCCCTGATCACCGCCACATCACTTATATGATGATGCTGTACTGCACTGGTGACCGTAAGTAAAAAAAAAAAAAAAAAAAAAAAAGAAGAAAAAGGAGGCCATAAGTACATCAGTAGTGATCGATTTTCAGATACATACCATAGTTTGTGAACTCTATAAACTTTCCTAAAGACTAAATAATAAACAATGTTGGGTTATTTTTACCAAAGAAATGTAGCAAAATACATTCAGCATAAATTTATGAAGAACAATTATTTATTTGCCAAATTTTCAGTCTTTTTTTGTTATTTAGCAAATAATAAAAAATGCAGTGGTGATTAAATACCACTAAAAGAAAGTTCTATTTGTGTGAAAAAAAAAAAAAAAACTTTATAAGGGTACAGTGTTGCATGACCACGCAATTGTCAAAGTGCAAAAGCTGAAAATTGGCTTGGGTAGGAAAGGAGTGAAAGTGGCTGGTATTGAAGTGGTTAAAGTTTGCTGAAACTAAAAATGGAATTTTACTCGGAAGACGCTGACTAACACTAAATTGAGATTTTATGTTAAAATTAACAATGTACTGAAAGATATCCAGGTTTTAGTGCAGCATATGCTCTGGCAAGAATGTGACAACATTCTTCTCCTAAAAATACAGCAATGGTCTCCTCATTTCCCAGATGTTTACAGAGTGTTGTTAAAAGAAGATGGGATGCTAAACCATGGTAAACAAGGCCCTGTCTAAACTCTTTTGAAATTGGGGTTGTACTTTGCCAGCTTTTTCCCAATTTGTTTTAAGACATGTCAAGAATTTCCAAAAACCTTACCTTTTTTTCCCCCCCCTAAAATCGTACAAATATTTGATAAGTTTTCTATTTTATATGGTGAATAAAATTTGAATTGATGAGATTTGCAAATCATTACATTCTGTTTTTATATAGATTATACACAGTGTCTCAACATTTTTGGAATTGGGGGTTGTACGATTCTGTGAGTAACTTTGCAACAGCTATTTTAAGAGACCAGTAATGTCCCACCTTCACAGACAAAATAAGTATTGTACCTTTGACCTGCAGCCGAGCACAGAGCATTACCAGTGGCGGTCATCATTCTTCCAGCCTGTGTGCTGTTCTGCTGAGCATGGGCCTTCAGATGCAAACCAAAATCATTCTCCTCCAGAGAGACCGCTGTTGAGGAAGAGGGAAAATCTGAACTAAAACTCTCCATTAAGAAAATGTAGCCTCACATCTGTAGAATAGGTTTTCCATCATCTTTGAGATTAAAAGACTAACTCCATTCTGACTGACTCTTCAGTACTGTGTGATAGGTGCAAGGCTGAAACACTTGACATTATAAAATCACAAGACTCAAACAGAAAGATCTCCAAGTTAGTGCCTTGCTCTCTCTATAATGGTCATTACCATCTCCCTGCTGGATTGTTTGTTCTCTTCAATGAGCGATCAGATGACTGGTTGAAAGCTAGTGATCCTATCATGTTGTCCACGTATAGCAAAGTACAGGTTCTTTGATAGCCCACCATTGTTTCCTTTAGTGGGCCATGCTTCATTAATGAAAACCAAATTAAATTCTGCACTGGCAGTAGCCACAAATCAAGAGCCACTCCAGTCAAATAAGAAAAACAATATGAGCATTAGCCACTGCATATTGGTAGAAGCTTTGTCTGGGCGCAGTTGGACCTTCGTTCTTGAAGGAAGAGACAAGACCTGGTTTCATGACTACAAGACTGATGAACCCTGATTTTGTTGGAATCTGTCTCAGCATGACTGTCGGTGGGAGGCTCATTTGTGGAGCAGGGGCTGGCCTTTAGGTTAAGTGGCAAAAGAAAACCCAAATAGAATAATATACTGGACATGTGCAGTCACTTAGAGAAAGCCTGGCATGTCTTCCCTTTAGAAGATTGTACAAAGGTTTCTGTGAAGGTTCTCACTTATTCAAGTCATGGTATAGCTGACAGTAATTAGTCACATTCAGCTGGACTTACTCAGAACAGGCCCAGTTGGATATGAGCAAGTACTACTAGCAGATGTAGAAGTTTGTCGGTTTGTATAGCACTTTATATAGTATCTGAGAAGGTAAACCTTTTGTACAGAAACTCTGTACAATTGGAAGTATCTAGTCAAGTTAAAAGGAGGCTTCCCAGCTGCCGCACACTTCACCCAGCCATGTTGTAGGCAGATAAAAGCAGCCCCAGCTCATCCATCAAAGCCATGCACCAACGCCTATAGTCCTGCACCCCCCCTCCCCCCCTGGGCTTAATCATACTGTAGATCAATCATAGACATATCTAGGTCTACAATTGTGTTCGCTAGGAGTCTCATCTCTGCCTTCTGCCTATCCATCTCCGCAGCTAATCGTCAGAAAGAAAAAAAAAAAAAAAAAAAAACAAACACAAACAAAAACACACACCAGGTATACAGGAGGTGGCAGGATTGCCTCCTGAACACCTGACAGCAGCTGATCTGAAAAGCGATCCACCGCAGACCACTTTTCAGAGCATTGGCTAGAGTGAACCTAGCCAAACAGTGCACAATTTCTTATGTAAAAAGTATAAAGAATACCAGCAAATTACAAACACAATAGGAAATGTAATTTGTGGTTTGATCCTTTGTTGTCCTGGAGGTGTGCAGGACTGAGGACATTTAAACAACCTAAGTCAGGATGTGAATGAGCCAAAAATGGGAAAAGACAACCAAGATGTCCACAGATTAAAGAATCTTTTAAGACATCCTCTATGCTGCTAAGTAAGCTTTTCCCATTCCAACAATCAGTTATTGGTATCTTTGAGTGAACGTTTGGGAAACTGGGGAGGTCCATTTCTGCGCCATCAGTTTCCATGCTACATCCTCATGGAGAATGCCCATTATACCCAACATTATGATCCTATAGCAGCTGTAATGAGTACAATGCAACTTTAAAATATGGAAGTTGAAAATCTAAATAATTTTAGACATGCAGATTGTTACTTTAACTGATTGTTAAAGTAACAATCAGTGTGCTCAACGTTTGTGTTTAGCATATCCAAAAAACAACTGAATGGTACATTGAAGGTTTCAACATAGCCAAAAGCTTTGAAAATAGCTTTGCCAAAGCTTAGTGTACATACTGAAGCCAGTTTGAAAAGAGCTGAAGAGAAATGAAGTAGGGGATGATGATCAGTAGGAACTTAAAAGGTATAGTTATAAAGAAGTGAATATGACTTTCACCAACCACTCACTGTTGATGAATAAATCAATGGTGAATGTTTGCTGAAAGTCAGATTTACTGCTTTATAAATATCCCCCTTAAGCCCTGGTTCACATCGCATGTGGGCTTTTGAAATCAAGCTACTTCAGCTGAGTCGCACTGATTTGAACGATTCCATAGGCACAAATAGGATGTAACTTGTCATGTATTTTGAACTGAAGTTTGTAGCAGGAAAATATATATATATATTAGAAAATGTTACAGCCTGGATTAAATTGGTTGCTGAATAATATATTTCCAATAGGACAGGTCTTGGTTAACATAAGTGCACAAGGTTAGAAGAAATAGCTGAAAAAAACCATATGTAGAATAAAGTCATTTATTTCTTTATGTCAAATATTACATCTTTAGAGTGATGGTAAAGGACATTTAGGCTGATGAGACACAGATGACTCTGCCACTAACAATCCTGCCACTGACAATTTGTCAAACTCACTAAGAAGATGACTGTTTTGTTCCTATGCAATCACTCCCTCTGTATCGGAGGCAGCAATATGTTGCTCCTATCGCTAGAAATCAAAATTCAGCACTGTTCAGGCCAGGGACATCTCACTGTATGTGGATATAGAGGGAGTAATTCCACAGGGAAACAAAGGCAGCCTTTTTAGATATCCTGCCACAGGTGATTTGTAACTAGTGGCAGAATCAGCTGTCAATACTAAATACTTAGCAATACTCAAAATTAACTCCAGGGTCTTACCAATGTTTTTGGCACTTACCATTTAGAGCCAGCTGGTATTTTTCAATTATTTTCAGCAGCTCTGATCCCGTTGCCTGAATAGAATGAAATACCTGTAAAATAAAGGAGGTAATTTTTGTTTGTTTACATACTTTTATGTAGTTTCTAAATATCATAAATATAAATCTTAAGTGCTATGGAAGAATTAACTAACTGGATCAAAACTAGTTAGACCAATTAGAGCAATTCAAAAGGTATGTAGAAAATTGACTTGCTAGCATGATCAATTAATAGGAACAGGTTTAAAAAAAATTAATGGTTAAAATGACTATTAAAGATATTAGAGAACAGCTGGGTGTGCATGGATGATCCAACCACTTCAGCATGTCCATTTGGTCATTTTTGTAAGGCAAAGAAGGAGACAGCGAGCAAGGCTGACTCAGCAAAAAATGAAAGGCATCCTGAGGCATATCCCACTCTTTTACCTGCAGCATGCAAACAGATGGACACTCTTTATGGGAGCAGCAGTGAGGGCAGCTGAAGACACTATGCGCAAGCCATGCAGTGCAAAGTAGCGGTTGTATTATAGTAGAACAATTTGTTTTCAGATTTGTACAGCTCTCTTTCACCCATAATCAGTTTTCAAAGTATCTAGAAACATGCCCATGAAAGTAGCAAAAAAAAAAGTTTTTTCTTTCACCATTACTTATATTTTTAAAGTATTTTCCTTTCTTACCTCTAGCTTAGCATCCAGCTCAGCATCTGATGCAACAACATGTTCATCTTCTTTTTTCCCTGTAACCTTGATTAAGACTTGCTTGGTTTTCCAAAACTTCTTTTGCATACGGCTGACCATGGACTCGTCCTCTCCCACCCATGTCTTCCCACTGGTGTTCATGAAGTAACTGTAGGAAGTGAGACAAAGAGGGAATTATGGTTTTAGGTAGGTTTTCCTTTCTGTTGCCACTTGTCCATGAAAGACTGTATTCAGCCCTGTCTGCTCGTGTGTCACAATGTAACCTTCATGAATAAATAATAACCTTATCAAATAGCAAGTTGAGTCCGGAGCTGAATAAATTAAACATTTAAATTGCCTTAAAATGTTGTAGTTGTGCAGCGTACTCATTTGTCTCAGGATGAATAAAAAGCTTTTATGAATCTGCCCTAATAATGGGAAAAAACATGCCAAACAAACATTCAGCAGTTAATAAAAGGTGATTACATAGTGTACATCAGTTACATAGGAAAAAAAAAAAGCCAAAAATGTTTAAACTAATAAATCACTATTAAAGGATACAAATACGCTGTTTATAAGCAGCATTATGTATCTATAAGAATGAACTAGATACCCAACATACACTGCGCCCATTGCGTCTTACAATCTCCATTAGGCATTGATTGACACTGTCACAATATAGGTGCTCTGCCAATTATTCATTTCTGCCTTAATCCCCTCACTAATTCCTTGTGTCCAAACGAAGTACGTCCTTAATGCATTCCTTACTGTCTTCTGCCAAATGTCCCCAAATTCAATTAATGTACTTCCCCCTCCATGTCACCCTGCCAAATGTCCCCAAATTCCATTAACATAATTACCCCCCACTGTTATCCAGTCTCCAGCTGTACTTTCCTCCTCTTTGCTAAATGACCCCCCTCCACCTCTCGTCCTGCTGCGCAGGACGAGAGGTGCAGCTTTCACCACCCCTGCCACTATTATTATACAGGATTTATATAGCGCCAACAGTTTGCTCAGCGCTGTACATTGTAATGGGACAGTACAGTAACACAATACGATTCAATACACGAGGGGTTTGAGGGCCCTGCTCCTTGGAGCTTACAATCTAGGAGGGAGGGGATAGTAGTACAGGAGGAAATCGCTGTGGGGGATGGAGTGGTAGGAAGAGTGGAGGAGTTCAGTAATTAGCTGAGGGCGGGTAGGCTTCCCTGAAGAGATGGGTTTTCAGAGTGCACCTAAAAAAGGTGAGGAGAGTAGGTGTCAGGAATCCCGAGGTTCGCCACGGCGCGCGGGTCTGCGCACGCGTGGTTTACCTAGATGTAGAAATCTGCGAGTGCATAGGATCCCGACAAGACCTACAGGCAGGCGGGCACTAGGACCCAGGTGCGCCTGTCACCAATGACGGCGCCGGGCAGGCACTAGGACCCAGACGCGCCTGTCGGATCCATGCAGGCTATGTAAATTGGCCAGTGCAATGTCCAAACTGCCTTATGGTCTTTCCTGCTGTATCCTGTGAGATTGCTTTGTTGCCGACCCTGCCTGACCCTAATTCTGTTGACCGTCTCCTGCTCTGATCCCTGGCTCATCCGACCATTCTTCTGTCTGCTCCTATACGTTTTGACATCCTGTTACCGAACCCTGCTTGTGACCCGTTAATCCCTTTGCCTGCGGATTTTGTACTGTTACGCCTTCACTGTTACCGACCTGGCTTAGCTGACTTCGCTTCCCTCCACCTCTTCACATCAGGCTCTCACCTGCTACGTACCACTAGCAGGTACCTCTACCACAGCTGGTTGTACCCAGGGGCCGCGACCTGGTTTCGTCCTGCTCAAAGTCCATCCCCACCATCAGGGGCTCTGGTGAACAAGCAGGTCGAAGCTTAGATTCCACGCCCTGGGGAATTCTGGTCTGTGGGGCGCTAGAGGTTACCGCCGGTTGGTCCCGAACAGTAGGTGATAGTCTGATGGATTGGGGTAGGGAGTTCCAGAGGATGGGGGAAGCCCTGGAGAAGTCCTGGAGATGGGCATGGGAGGAGGAGACCAGGGAACTAGAGAGTAGGAGGTCTTGTGAGGAGCGGAGAGTATGTTTTGGGTGGTATTTGGATACCAGATCAGTGATGTAGTTTAGGGCAGTATTATGAACAGCTTTATAGGTCAATGTTAGCATTTTGAATTTTATCCATTGGGCAATTGGAAGCCAGTGGATAGATTGGCAGAGAGGGGTGGTGGATACGGAGCGATTAGTAGGGTGGATGAGTCTGGCTGCAACATTCAAGATAGACTGAAGCGGGGATAGCCTGCGGTGAGGTAAGCCGATGAGGAGGGAGTTACAGTAGTCGAGGCGTGATATAATGAGGGAGCAAATGAGTTGCTTAGTGGTTTCCGGGGTTAGGAACGGACATATTTTGGAGATGTTGTGGAGGTGAAGTCTACATGACCTGGGGCTAGAAGGACAGATTGGAGTCTAGGATGACACCTAGTATTCTGGCTTGAGGGGAGGGACTGATGGTGGTGTTGTTGGTCTTGATGGAAAAGTCGGGGGGGGGGGGGGTGCACGGGCTGAGGGGAAAACTAGAAGCTCAGTTTTGGAAAGATTTACTTTGAGGAAGTGGAGTGACAACCAATCCGATATGTCGCTAAGTAGGCTTGTGATACGGACAGAGACTGAAGGGGTGAGGTGAGGGGTAGAGAGATAAAATCTGCGTGTCGTCGGCATAGAGATGGTAGTTGAACTATCTTCTCCCCCTCCGGCGTGGCCGGAGAGGAAGAGGTAGTGAGGTTCACACCTCTCTGCGAAGAGGTGCGAACCTCCTGCGGGGATGTTCCGGACCATGGCGTCAGACTGACGCCACCCAGTCCTGTCATCTGCAGTGCGATCACGGAGAGTTCCTGCACTTGCGGATGTCCCTGGACAAAGGTCGCGCTCATGAGAAGCGCGGCCCATGTCCAGGGGGCGTGCCTCGTTGCAGGCCCTGGCCCGCCCACAGTTGCCAGGACGACCGGAGAGCGTCCTGCATCAGCTTAAGAAGGCTGATTCCGGGCTCCCCGGTCAGATCTTCTCTGCTAAGAATCCACCGAGGGAGCCCAGCTGCGGCAGGACCCTCATGGCGAACTCTGCCGAGACCCCCAAAGTTACGGGGGGAGACCGCACGCTAGCCTGCCTGAGCCCCAGAAAAGGGGGGGGGGGGAAGACCGCACACGCCAGCCTGCCTGAGACCCCCAGCCAAAGGGGGGGGGGGAGATCGCACACGCCAGCCTGCCTGAGACCCGCAGCCAAAGGGGGGAGATCGCACACGCCAGCCTGCCTGAGACCCCCAGCCAAAGGGGGGAGATCGCACACGCCAGCCTGCCTGAGACCCCCAGCCAAAGGGGGGAGATCGCACACGCCAGCCTGCCTGAGACCCCAGCCAAAGGGGGGAGATCGCACACGCCAGCCTGCCTAAGACCCCCAGCCAAAGGGGAGAGACCGCACACGCATGCTGCCTGAGGACCAGCCAAGGGAGAGCCCACACACCTACTCCGTATTCCCGCAGGTACCTGTTTCACACTATCTTGTTCCCTGGGAGACCGGGCACCCTGTTGGATCCGTGAGTACCTACTCCTCGTTTTGCCTGAACCGTTCTTGAACTGCCCCTCTACTTCACTGTGGGATTATAACTGCTGCAGAGACTTTAACCTTGCCCCTGGTGCTGGACTACAAGTGCTTTTTGCCCTCTCCTACTATTCCCCTAGTGGCGGGGTCACCCCCCTTGCAATCCCCCCCTATTGAGTGACTATCATTTTGCCTCAATAAAGCTTTGTCTGTTTGCTATCCGCCTTGTGTGTTCTGTCCTGCCTACCCTCCGTCACAGGCACTATCAACTTATTTGTGCCCTAGCTAAGAATAAATGGGATATCTTACAGAAAATTTCCAAACTGCCAAATATCGTCAGCAAGTGCTGAATTTCCAAACCTTATCTTTATGCTTGTTGCTGCTGGACAGTTTTCCTTACTTTCTGTCCAGCTGACATCACTTTACCGGACAAGAAGTAACATAAAATCTCTATAGAGCCTCAAAAACCAGTAAAACCTTGGCTGGAGTTCTCATCCTTACCCACTTTATCAAAAACTAAGGAAAAAGCTTTTGCTAGACATACACTTTAAATTTGAACTCCAGGAAGAATATTTGTGTATACTTACATTGGGCAAACTTGGCTCAATGTAAATCAACATCAATTTTACAGAAAATAGAAGGACAAATAAAAAATTGAACACCTTTAACAGGTGAAACATGACCATCAAACACATACATAGAAGATCATAAAATTGAATTATTCAAATGAATGGAACTAAAATCAGTAGCCCAGCTAAAATGGTTGCTACTGATGTCCAAGAAGTAAGATGGGCATCACGGGCATCAGTTACAGATCACTGGTAACTACAGCCTAGAGCAGCAATGGGCAAACTACGGCCCGCGGGCCGTATACGGCCGGGCGGACCTTTTAATCCGGCCCGCGGAGCGTGGCAAACATTGGCTGTCAGGATGTAGGCGGGGCAGCGTGACGAACTCCTCTCCTCTCACAGTCCGCCCTGAAGACCGGAACGGCACGCGGGAACACGGCGAGAGGAACGCGCGGAGCAAAGGTAAGTGAATTGACACAATATGGGGAATAAATTACTATGGGGGATGAATTACTATATGGGGGATGAATTACTATATGGGGGAATAAATTACTATAGGGGGGTGAATTACTATGGGGGATGAATTACTATATATGGGGGATGAATTACTATATGGGGGATGAATTACTATGGGGGATGAATTACTATATGGGGGATGAATTACTATGCTTACTATGGGGGAATATTACTATACTTACTATGGATGGCATGGTAGTGCCTGGGCCGGCCAGCAGCTAGTCCGGCCCCTGGGTCCAATATATGAACCCATTGTGGCCCTCAAGTCAAAAAGTTTGCCCACCCCTGGCCTAGAGACATGAAGGCTTAATTATGAGTAGTTGCTGACACCTAGGACAATGGTGTCACTTCATAGGTAACAGTAGACATATTGGTACATAGCTTCAGCCTAAAACCATGAATTTGGTACTTTGTTGATAATTCCAACGCGTTTCATGGGACAAT